CCACCGTTTACTGAAAAATAAGTTATGAAAATAATCATAATTTATTTTTTTATGCTTATTGGAAATTATATATTTTGTTTATACTGAAAAGTCACGAACATCTGTCATATTTGGGTAATAAGTGAATAGTAATTTGCTTATCGCATTTCAAATCCTTTAGCAACATAGCAAACACCATCTAAAATAACGTCAACATTAAACAGAAAACAAATAAAAACAAATTCAATAAAATTATTTATAATCTTCCTAGTGAACGCTCTGAAATCGTAATTATATATTTGATTGATGAATAAACTAAATAAGGAAGCGAACGTCGTGAAATAAAACATGAATTTGGGAGCTTTACTTTGAATAGTGTTTATTGATTCTCTCGATTTTTAAATTTTTTTTTCTATTCACTGATATTTACAACTGTATTATAAAAAAATACAACTAGTAAATGTGCACACAGTAATAATACATAATTAATTAATTAATTAATCAAATCGTTGCCACCATGTTAAAGTAACGAATGTGCAACTTTAGACAAGATAACAACCGTTGCTATAACATGGTGCCGAAGATATCTACGAAACGACATTCAATGTACTAGTTTTAATTTTGTTCTTTGTCCATATATTTTTTTATTATGGTCTGGTATTAAATAGAAGCAAAAGTATAGCGAAAATGTTAATAAAAAATTTACTCCATTTTTTATTATTATATGATTAAAAAAAAAATCTTATATATTCTAAAACATTGTAATTACAATTCACTAAAATAATTAAGTCTTCAAAGTAACCAGTGCCGACTCATATATTTAAATATTTACATTGTGTCGTATAATGATTTTAACGATGTCAGGGATTTCTTAATGTGCAAAAGTATATAATACAAAAATAAAATAGAATTTAGAAATTTCCTGAGATAAGCCACCGTTTACTGAAAAATAAGTTATGAAAATAATCATAATTTATTTTTTTATGCTTATTGGAAATTATATATTTTGTTTATACTGAAAAGTCACGAACATCTGTCATATTTGGGTAATAAGTGAATAGTAATTTGCTTATCGCATTTCAAATCCTTTAGCAACATAGCAAACACCATCTAAAATAACGTCAACATTAAACAGAAAACAAATAAAAACAAATTCAATAAAATTATTTATAATCTTCCTAGTGAACGCTCTGAAATCGTAATTATATATTTGATTGATGAATAAACTAAATAAGGAAGCGAACGTCGTGAAATAAAACATGAATTTGGGAGCTTTACTTTGAATAGTGTTTATTGATTCTCTCGATTTTTTAATTTTTTTTTCTATTCACTGATATTTACAACTGTATTATAAAAAAATACAACTAGTAAATGTGCACACAGTAATAATACATAATTAATTAATTAATTAATCAAATCGTTGCCACCATGTTAAAGTAACGAATGTGCAACTTTAGACAAGATAACAACCGTTGCTATAACATGGTGCCGAAGATATCTACGAAACGACATTCAATGTACTAGTTTTAATTTTGTTCTTTGTCCATATATTTTTTTATTATGGTCTGGTATTAAATAGAAGCAAAAGTATAGCGAAAATGTTAATAAAAAATTTACTCCATTTTTTATTATTATATGATTAAAAAAAAAATCTTATATATTCTAAAACATTGTAATTACAATTCACTAAAATAATTAAGTCTTCAAAGTAACCAGTGCCGACTCATATATTTAAATATTTACATTGTGTCGTATAATGATTTTAACGATGTCAGGGATTTCTTAATGTGCAAAAGTATATAATACAAAAATAAAATAGAATTTAGAAATTTCCTGAGATAAGCCACCGTTTACTGAAAAATAAGTTATGAAAATAATCATAATTTATTTTTTTATGCTTATTGGAAATTATATATTTTGTTTATACTGAAAAGTCACGAACATCTGTCATATTTGGGTAATAAGTGAATAGTAATTTGCTTATCGCATTTCAAATCCTTTAGCAACATAGCAAACACCATCTAAAATAACGTCAACATTAAACAGAAAACAAATAAAAACAAATTCAATAAAATTATTTATAATCTTCCTAGTGAACGCTCTGAAATCGTAATTATATATTTGATTGATGAATAAACTAAATAAGGAAGCGAACGTCGTGAAATAAGACATGAATTTGGGAGCTTTACTTTGAATAGTGTTGATTAATTCTCTTGATTTTAAATTTTTTTTTTTTCTATTCATTGATATTTATAACTGTATTATAAAAAAATACAACTAGTAAATGTGCACACTCTAATAATACAATCACATGAAAACGCTTGTTGAGAAGCTACTCATTGGGAGCACTCTAATAATATATTTACATAAGTAGATCACGAGGCCATCTTCTTTTCAGACACCTCGGAGGGTTTAAATTATTTTATATAAAGAAATAATATTGTTTTGATATATGTATGTATGACAAATAGTATCATTAGGAACATTGATCTTGGAAACCTTCATACATTTCATTCATATTTAATTATTTTATTCTACATTTATTGTTTTTTTTAAGCATGTCGATATATTATTATTATCATTATTAATGCTTTATAGATTCAAGTGTTGTAACACGTAAACTTTATCTAAGTAATTACAACTAAAATTTCCTTTTCTATTTAGAAATAATCAATAATAATTTTACAAAAAAAAACAACATTTTTTTGCAGAAATTAAAATTAAAAAAAAAACTATTTAAAAAACGACTACGGAATAACCCTATCCTGTTTGAGGGGTTTGTTCCTTCACATCTACTTAAAATAATTGGCACTTACATCATTCGCAGTTACATCATAACATGTATTTTACAGATTGAACGAATATTATACAGAAATTTGTCGGTAATTTGAGCTAGATTGTTTTAAAAAATCAAGGAATGACCCTGAAACTTAAAATTCACTCCCGCTAACGGACAGATTGAACACATTGTAAAAAGTTACTTGTCAAAACACTCAAGAAATATCACCGAATAATTTGACGATCAAACCTAAAAATCGGCTCACTCAATTCACTCAAAAAATCATTAGATACCTAATAACAGTAAACACATGTCCCACCTTTGTTGCTGCGCAATTTTAGGTTAAAAATACACTTCGTCGGTGTACTGAAAAAATTCATTAAGTTACATTTCATAACCTAATCTCAGTTACAATTTTCCCATTGAATAATTAGGAAATTGTGCGCTTATTGTATGTTTGATATATAAAAATGTTTGTTATTTCACTGCAATCACAGTATTTTTTTTTATCAATAACATGTCGAAAACCACAGAAAGTTCTGAAATGCTCAGTTTCGTAAAAATGCATTTAATGTCTTTTTACAATAAACTGACGACTTAAAATGATAAATAACTTGTTTTATACATGTATCATTATGAGACTATAAAAAAAACTGTTTTTCATTTCCTGCACGTAATATAGGAAGCAAAATAATTGAGGTAATCTCCTTTATCGTTACGTTAAAAATTATTTTTATACCGAAAAATAAGTGAGCAGAATTTTTAGTATAGATACGGTTGATTGCTTTACCGAAAGGAGGTTAAGCTACGTTGATTTTATTTATTTTTTTTTGTACGCTACTTAACAATCGATTATTATGCATCGGTTACTTTATCTAAATTTAGATAGTTTGTATAATTGCATGAATAGTTCCTACATATTTTCAACTCTCGGATATTATCTGAGGTTTGTTAACTTATACAACCACGGACCTCATTTATTTACTGGTACAATTTAACAAAAAATATCTCATTCTAAATATTTTTAAAGTGTAAAATTATTTTTCAAACCAGAATATTATTTTTAAAAATATACAATTGTAATTAATAGTTGACTATACTTTCTAGCTATTTGTTCACTCCTTCTGGTCAACAGACCAATCACTGAATACTTCTCTCTAGATTCTACTTGAATTAATTATTAACTCATATATTTATCCTACTCTTGTTTCTATTTCTTCATAGTGCACCGTAAACTGATACGTTTGTTGTTAGGCGCATCGCTAGGAAGGAGTAGGAGAGGCGAAATGCCCGTGGAGCCCGATAAGAGTTGACTGAAAATAAGTATATGTCAAAATGTTTTTTGAACAAATACATTCAACCACCTACTTGCGTCAGATGTGGTTCCCCCTAGGACAGAGGACAACATTCTCGCGTACTGTTTACATTACGCGGTCATAAGAGATAACCTTAACATGCACCGAACTATTTAAGAAATGTTACAGGATACAGAAGATGTGGAGGCCCTGATAGATTTTTTACAATAGAGTATAAAAAAAGTTAGTAAAAACAGGATTGCCAATGAACCCGTCAGAAAGAGTCAAATTCAATACATAAGTAAATACAATATTCATTTTAATGTATATTAAATAAATACATTTATTTTTATTAAACTATTGTGTGAATGAATACTATAGCCCTAGTACCAATGCCCTTCCGTGTGGCAGACTGTATTAATACTCAATAGAAATAAAATATATTAAACCATAACATAGCATAATTCAAAGATGTGGATACCGTGTAAAGTTTAAATGCAACTAATCCTATTATTATATTATGAAATCTTTATTAAGTGACAGTGATTAAATTAAACCTATTATTGCTAAGTAATTCTGTAATATATATATATATATATATATATATATATATATATATATATATATATATATACATTTATATATATTGTTGTTTTCAAAACAAAGAAATAAAAATTTTAAAATAATTTCCGTTTTTATTATAATTTGATCCATGCATTAATGATAATGATTTTCAAAAAATTAGTATTAGTTTATTTTTTTCTCCGAGCCCGGGTTTTGCTGAAAGCGGTCCTAGAAGTAGTTCTTATATCTTTTATTAAGTTCGAAATAAAAAAGCCTTCGTTTAATACTATGAAAATGTTATTTCATATGCCTAAATATTGTCACAAATATAAATTATAAATATATATATATATATACTTCGAGATAGTAAACTTTCAACTCACATGAAGAACATGCTAACTTGGAGGAGGCGAGGAGTAGACTAGAACCTCCCAGAGCCCCCTCCACCGCCGACCGGTTTCGTCACAGAGTACTCGTTGTTGGTACCTGCGAGGAAGTTTGGTATGAAGTCTTCTGCAGTTGCTGGAGGAAGTTTTTCCGTTATTCAGAGAGTTCATGCTCATGATATTTATAACTTATGCAGAAATTATGTAGAAAAGAAGGCCAACACCGTTATTGAAAAGTTGCCTTGGTTGATAATAAGCGTCTAACCTTTCATTTATCGAGCATAGTAGCTGCCTGTTTTACATGCTACAGTAAAACAAACCGTTCGTTATATATTTATAGTTATCCATATGTGCTTGTTTTAGGTGAACATTTTTTAAATATTATAAAATAAGTGTGTTTTATTTCTTCACCATATTTTTATCAATTTACGTAGCGGCCGGTAAGCCATCTATAGAATAAACACCATTAATTTTATATTTTGATGCAATAGCAACACTGTATGATGGTGGTATTGGTCCTATATAATTTAATATTCTATGAATTATAACTCTAATTAGATTAGTCCAAAGTCAGATTAAATTATAATTGTAGTTGGGAGATTGCACACAGCTTCAAAAGAAAACTTTTAGAATCCATTTACATTTCTAAAAATTTAGACACAGTATGCAATTTCCAACCAAGCAAAAAAGGACTAAACAGCACATATGCCAGTATAATTACAAAATTGAAATTTTAATTAATCAAATATTTTAATAATAATCCTTAATAAGTGAGCTGTATAAACGAATATATAACAACGTGGAACCTCCCAACCACACCTATAATTTAATCTGAATTTGTACTATATGCAAATAGCATGGTTGGATAAAGTATGGATGTTTTGAAATTTAAAATAATTTATGTCTGTTCATCTTACCTTGATATATCTGGATTTGAATAAAAAAGCAACCTCATTCTGTAAGTGGTACTGTTAATTTACAAATTAAAAAAATTGACTTAACCTAATTAGGGTTATAGTTCATAGAATATCACATTAAATAGGACCAATACCACCATCATAGAGTGTATCAAAATATAAAATGAATGGTGTTTATCTTATAGATGGCTAACCGGACGAAACGTGGCTATGTAAATTGAAATAAATATTGTGAAGAAATAAAACACAGCATTATTTTATAATTTATAGCTGCCTTTTATTATTACAATTAATGACTTAAAAAAACTTGGATTGCGTCAATTTTCCTTAAATTGTTGCTAATTGAAGTAGTTTTGAAAATTTGATGTATTGATCGAATTTCATTGTAAAAAAAAAAAAAAAATGTAACACTACAACCCATGAGTGATCTATATGTATAGTACTATATTGCAAAGTGCTATTTCTTGGTCAATGGTCGTACAAGAAGGCGAATTAACCGAGATCATGCTCAACCGCCAGGTTTTCTTCCTTAATTAATTAATTAATTAAGAGTTCCCACTTTATCAAGGCTGGGTGTACCTGAGGAGAGTCTCCCGAGCTCAGGGTCGATCCCCGGCCGATGAAACAGAATAAATAATTTATCAGCCATCAGCCGGATTCGGAACAGAGACCTTGCGCTCTGAAAATCAGTGCCCAACCCAATGAGCAACCCCGTTCCCTACATTGTAATTATATTCATTAAGAAAACAAATCGTCCAAGTTATTTTGATTCTGGTATGGAGGGGAGGGGTTAGAGGACTCGTCCGTCCTATGGTTTTTTTTGACAAAACGTCTTGATTAATCGATGCGGTTCTGTACTAAGGTGGCTGATCAGAATTCAATCAGCAGGGAGACTACAACATTAATATAATCTGACCCAGTTGATAATTAAACTCTCAACTTTCGTTACTTCAAACCGAAAAAAAACTTACATTGCTCTGATTCTGTGACACAGAGCTGATATGGAGTCAACTATCACATTTTCTCAGAGAATAGTACGTTGTACAATTGTAATTATCTGAGAGACAAAAAAGGTGTTACAGCCTTTTAGACTTTGAATAAAGTCAGTGGAAGAAAGTATGTAATTATGTTTTGCGTTTTCCTGTCCGAAAAAATATTTAAAAATTTAATTATGAATCGAAACTTTTACTTCGAATTTAGGAGGCCCTTTCAGACGATTTCGGATATCCACTACGTATTTTATTTTATTTTTCACGACTCCACACATATATAGATATATATAAGATTTTAGTTTTTTTTGTTTTTTTTTATGTTTAAATCTGACTATATGTTGTTAATCAGTAACTGTTATTTTTGTTTAGAATTATGCATCAATATCCTGTCCAACTATTCAACTAATATAATTATTTTTCTGGAAAAATGTTTACAAAATATTTTTGTGTGTATATAGATTATAGTGCTTATAAGTGTATGCAAGAGATTATAAACCAGACAATATTAGCAACCGGACAATTTATAAAGAAGTCTCTGGATGAAATAAGGATTTTTATTTCCGAATTTCATTCAAGAAAAAAATAGTAGAGAAGCTTGAAAAGATGATGCTTTTACTCCTGTTTTTGCAGACAGATGATATTCTTTATTAAGATCAACAACAATTGAAGATCAAAAATTGAAGAAGATGTGAAGCATAATATGAATAATATAAATGCTATATACACGTTTATGTATTTGTTATATAACTCAAAAGTATTACATGATTTATTCAATTAAGTTTTACTTTTCTTTTTATAATTATCCTATTTTTAATTGTTTTTAACTAACAAAATTTACATAATACCTAAATAAAGATATTCATAATATAATTTATCTTTTTGGAACAACATATTTTTAAAATTTTATTTTAATATATTTGAATCAACCAACAGAAGTTAATTATTTTATATATAATTTTAAACAAATTCTTAAAATATTTCTTTTCTACATTTATTAATATTTAAAATTATTTCATACAAGAAAATACTTCAGATGAATTATAACTCAACGAGACATGAATATTCATGTTCACTAATTCATAAATAAAATGACTTGATAGCTCAAAAAATTATAATTGCCTTTCATAACACTCGAAATAACGAATGAAATAATATAGATGTCTAATTATTTTTTAATATGTCAAACTGTGCGGCATTGATAACAGATAATGACCATCATTAGGCTCGTAAGACGTAGACCATGTGTACATCTCTGCATTTCTGGTCTGCATTCACCTTGCACCTGCCTGCACGGTTAAATATTATTGCTTCCAATAAGCATCACACATTTCTTTTCATATCAAGAAACCAATTAAATCAAAATGTGTTCCTGATAAAATTGATTAAAATTTATATATGCCTGCATTACAAATATGTATGTTTTGATGGATGTGAAAAAAAAAAACTACAAAAAGAACAAATAATGATCCTAATATTTGAAAGAAATATTATTCCAGTTTCTTCCTAGCTCTTGTTACCGATTTAACATGGTCTCTTGTTCTGCCAATAGGAAATAATAATCTTGTTACCTATGAAAAAAGTCTGCCAAGCAAGGTCAGTATAGCTTCCTCACCGTTTTCATTGGCTAAAATATATCTATATTACAAGGTATACAATTTTTCTTATGAGAATAAAATCCCTGGGAGAAGCCGATTCGGAAATCCATTTATCCTATAACATTCACGGATCTGATATCCAGAAATTTCGTTTATCATATAATATTAAAATGCGAAGAGTGCCCTGTTTGAAGATTCCATATTTGATTATTCTTAATTTAAAAAAAAAATACCAATGCATACTGAACATGCATATAACTACTGTTAGTTCAAAAGGCCGTATGTAAAAAATGATTGTTTTACAAGAGAGTATAAAAATTAATTAATTATTTCTTTATGCTTTATTAGTATAATTTCATATTTTCTTGCTCTCTGCTATTATCCATCGAAACAGACTACTTATAACAGTTGCATACAACAAAATGTCACCTTTAGCACAAATATAATAATAGTTAAAAAAATTTACATACGACCTTTGACTCTAATAGTAGTTATAAATACTTAATAATTTTGTTTTCACTTGTAAAATGGATGGAGCTAGAAAATATATAAGAAAAATTAAATTTGTTGTTTGTTCGGAGTTAATGAGACCAATACTTTTTTTCAGTCGGAACAAAAGTACTTAAGCTGGAACATAAAAATATGAGTGAAGTTCACACAAATTCGATATTTAAGCAGGAAATCGAGACCAAGACGAAATAAACACAATCACAAATAAGACTTTTGTTTACAAATCCAGAATAAAAATTACTTTACAATAACTGAAAATTACACGAAATCTCAGTAACAGCAATAAGTGTCATGCTAGTAACGTCAGTAATCGACCAAACTATACAGTATAAATTATTAGTTATTATTATTTGTTATAATTATTTTTTATTAGTTATTTATATTAATTTTAATTATTAAATGGAATTCAATGAAATTGATACTAAGTAATTTCTATACTGTTCTCTTAATTTCCTCCAAGTTTGGGTCAAATCGAATGCGCCATTTTCAAACTATAGGCACATCAAATAACACATTTCCTGATCTGAAAGCGGAAGTATTTTTTTCTGGAGTATTAAATAGAATTCGATAATATTGATGCCTATTTCATTTTATGTTTTCCGATCTCTAAGTTCCCTTTAAATGTGAGCCAAATCGAACTAGCGGTTTTAGAGATACAGACGTATCAAGGAAAACACCCTGGCTCATATATAAGAGAAAGCAATGGAAAGAATTCAACAAAATTGACCCTACATTATTTTGTCACAAATACTTACCTTTTATCCAACTTTAAGTCAAATCGAACATGCTGTTTCTGAAATATTGGCATGTCTACAAAAATGCGTTTGCACGTGCGTATGCGGAAACGCTGGTTAGAATTTAATAAAATTGATATGGGATCATCTAGACATCAACCTGCACAATTCCTGAAAATTTCATAAAAATTGGATAAACGTTAGTAGGTGATATGCCCGTTACATCGATTTGACTACAGACAGACAGACATCGAACCAAATTTGACCCTTGATGTCTGAAACGTAAAACGCGAGTGGGAATTTTCGATTTTCGATCACAATGTTTTTTTTTACCTCTCGCACGAATATA